AGAGCAATAGCAACGGCAAGCATGGCATTAATAACAATAACAACAACAGCAAGCATGGCAACAACAACAGCAAAATTAAAGCAAGCTTTGTAACAACAGCAATAAAAACAGCAACAACAGCAAAAGCAACAGCAACCATGGCATCAACAACAATAACAACAACAGCAAGCATGGCAACAACAGCAACAACAGCAATAACAACAGAAAGCGTCGCAACAGCAGCAACAATGGCAACAACAGCAACCATAGCACCAACAACAATAACCACAACAGCAATAGCAACAGCAAGCAACGCAACAACAGAAACAATGGCAACAACGGCCATAGTAACAGCAACAATGGCACCAATGATAATGGCAACAGCAAACAAGGGTAGCAACAACAATGACAACTGCAACATCAACGCAACATAAATAGCAACAGCAACAGCAGCAACAAGAATGACAACAGCAACAAAAATCACAAAAATAATCCTAATTATTGATCCACTGTATTGTTACCTTTTGTTTATTACCATCAGCTATTCCTGCGATCTTTAGAAGAGCTCTCTGTACAGCTGACCTGGGGTCATCTGATTGGCTGACTGGTTTGTTAGGATCTGTGGCTTCATCTGCGAATCTCACACTTCGATGATGTTGATCTGTAGTAAGAGCCAAGATATAAATGTAACTCATATGAATGAGTGGATAAATGAAGTGGTTGATAGATGGAGGAGTAGAAGGATGGAGGGATGGATAAATGCAAAGGATAAACAGATGGCATAGACTGTTTTCTAAAGATTGATTGCGCATACAAATTTAAGAAACTTGATGGGCCACAATACCAGAACAGGAGTTTTATAATGAGAATTATCAATCATTTCGATTAGATTTTTCGATAAGGATTTAACAATCGATTATTCTTCTCTTTAAATATGAAACTGGCTTCTCGATTTTACTGAATTTTACTCCTTTTTTCAGTTTTGTAGCCTGTCGGTCTATTGAATGGATGGAGAATAGAAGGCTAGAAAAAGAATGGATGGAGGGAAAAGAGATAGATGGAAGCAATGGATAAGTCTACTAAAAATCCTAAAAGCAAAAAAAGCCTTTCCCAACACTTCCCTGTCTCATACTTCTGACCTTGCTTCTCTCAAGCTCTAAAGCTCCCAGCATGCTAATATTACATTGCTGAGACATGAAATGCTGTTTCAAATAGGTGGATGTAATGTTTATAAACATTGTAATCATGAATATGTTAATGTGCCAATCATTTGACAATAGGTTTTGCCAATTTGCTTTACTGGATTGTCCAATAGGTTTCTTGTTGGCAATTTAAAGAGGCACTTGGACGGAAAATCCCTCAAAATTGGAAGCTGATTATTTCTAGTTGAAGCAATTTAAAAGTGAATATAGATCACTTTCAAGAACTACTATACCAAATATTCTGCATTTCAAGCACGTTATCATCAATTACTGTAATTTTGGTTTTGAAGCTAAAAGAACAATATTGTTCAAACAACTTAGATGCTACAATGATTGATAACTTTTATCCAGCAGTTTTGACTGTGAAGAAAATATGTTGCTTGGCGACTATTATTGGCCATACATAAGTGCAACCAAGTTACAAGACATTTCCATTTTTCAGTAATAAAGTTGCATTAGCACGTGCTTATGGCGAAGTGCTTACTATACGGTGCTTCCTAAGTCCTTATTACTGAATGGAGCACAGAAAAACCTGTTTTATTAGTTTTATTACATGGTTACTAATTTTATTTTGGTATTGAATTTATTCACGCAAAGAGAAAGACTGTCGCAGGATCTAGCAGCACTTCGCGCACGCAGATGGCTTCAGCACTGTGCTCCGTTCACTAATAAAGCACAGTTTTCGACCAATCAGCACATGTGTACTATCCTAACTACATAATAAATATAACATACAGTACGGTACCTTGAGTTTTATCATCTTTAAAGTCTTGTGTGTCCATCTTTGCATAGTCTCCAATCTTCATCTCTTGTTGATATTCATCCTCGTCAAGACCAGACTCACTCGTACTACTGCCATCATCATCATAATCCACATCATCACCTTTCTCTTCCAACCCTTCATGATCTGCGTCACTTACTCCAGGGGGGTGCAGAAGTTTGGATTTGTCAGTTGCTGTTGCCGAAGAGACTGTACCTGTGGAAGGCACAGGTGGTTCCCCTGGGGGTGGGCCTGGGGGGATTAATCCTGGGGGTAGGGTCCTAAGGAGAAAATAGCATAGAAAAAATTATAAACTTTATAGAGAATTTGTACCATCACATGATGGCAGCCATGACACCAATAGTCTTTCTTCCTCAGGAACTGAATTCTTTTTCATGTAAATCAGATTAGACCAGATTCAATTGTTCCTGCCTCCTGTCATAGCTGCCATCACATGATGGTGCAAATTCTCTTTTATATCACTGTGGGTTCATGGTAGAAAAATTGGACTCCCCTGGGGGTGGGTCCGGGGGATTAGTTGAAGGGTTCATTGTTATCATTGTCCAGCTGCTTCTACTTACTGTTGTCCTGGTAACGGTCCTGGCAGAGGGATGTCACTCGGCATTAACATACCTGCAACAAATAAGAATAGGGCTTAAAATGGGCTAAATTCGATTTGCTCTGTGAGTTAACGGTGCCCTGACTTAGATCAGCCCAGAGGTTGTTTCAGGGTTTGATCTGTGAGTTACATGTAGCTGTGCCCTGACTTAGATCAGCCCAGAGGTTGTTTCAGGGTCCTATCTGTGAGTTAGCCATGCCCTAACTTAGATCAGGCCAAAGGTTGTTCAGGGTTCTATCTGTGAGTTAGCCATGCCCTGACTTAGTTCAGCTCAGAGGTTGTTTCAGGGTCCTATCTGTGAGTTAGCCATGCCCTGACTTAGATCAGGCCAAAGGTTATTTTAGGGTTTGATAAAATATGAAGGTTTTTTAGTTAATATTTAATGCGCTGCCTTGAGTTTTTTACCTGAGTGAGGGAGAGGAATGTTTGTAGGAAGAGGAATATTGGCAAACTGTTCAGCCTGGAAGAAGTAAAAGATTAGAAAGATTAAAAATACATTATTTGGTCAGTATGCCAGTCAGTTAGTCACCAATATCTACAATGTGTAGTTCCAGAAAATATCCATACCCCACCTACTGTACTGAGGAATTGGAAATTCTGGAGATTCTGAATTCTTGTATGGAAGAAGATTGGAAGTTCCCGAGGGTAGGGGGGTCCTTTTGCAAATTCCCTACTTGGTTAAGGTATGGATATTTTTGGAACTTAACAATAAAACTGAGAGTACATTTGTATATCCTCAAGCAAAAAATTTTTTTTTCAAACAATGCAAAATTTTCCATCTAGAATAGGCCACATTCAGGTCCTAGAATTCTGACTTGATTGAGAGGCTTTAGTCATATGGCACATTGTACTTCATGTATCGTACAATGTATAAACATGTGGATCAACAAATATATATGTTAGTAATGATAAAAGGGTAAATTTTACACAGTGAAAAGATGAAAACACTTACTGACGTTTCGGACGCTAGTCCTTCGTTGGAGTAAAAGAGTGAAATATTGAAAGGAATATAATAATGAACCACATACAAATGAATGTTTCAGTAATAAATTAAAATTAAGAAATATTTAACAGAAAAGCCAGTTAGTTCAATATAGCTACTCAACTTAATGTTATCATAATCAAATATCAGCACTATATTTTCATTATGGCTATGCCTTCTGATTCTTTGATTTTGAAAGCAATTTTTACTGTATAGCATCTTGTTCTCAAGAGCCTCGCAATCATTCTAGAATTTTAACATCTCAAAAGTGGCCAATAATTGGATAATAATATTATGAACTCTTTGCACACTCACCTGCAGCTTGGCATGCATGGATTCTGTTCAAAAATAAATAAACAAAATGTTAGAAAATGTGCTAGAAATTTGTTCACAATCTAAACATGAAATGCAGAGTTAATGTGAAAAGGAAAATTTCTGTCTAGATGAGTAAGCAAACTTAAGGTAATTTATTGTATTTTACTTAGAAACTGCTGGTATAGACCCCTTGCATGTACATGTAACGTCAAAGCAGCTCAATTTGGAGGACAAAAACAAAGAATTTCATTCACCTGTGAATTTGAAACCTACGGTTATGTCCTACAAATTGAGCTGCATTCCAACGTGCTGCAAAGGTATATTAGTTGTCCAATAAACCTTTCCCGAATTGGCTTAGATGACCACGAAACAATGATTTGAATTAAACACTGAACTTGATTCTTTTATTCATCAAGTCCAACCCAACCTCGACTTGAAACCATTGTTTCGTGATCAGTCAACAGGTCTATTCACCTAATCCAGGGGCTCATGCATTAAGTGATGGAAGGTGCACCCTTTGCATGGGTATTTATAAAAGCCAAAGCTACACAGAGCAGAAAGAAGTTGAAAAAGAAGTGGAAATTCTGAGGATTGAACCATGGACCAAACTCCAAAAGCTGCCACTAACTAACTGAGCTATATGTATGTCCGCTCCTATACCAGGGTGATCTAATTTTGACAGCCCATCAAAAACTATAATCAGCCTGGAGAAAGAAATCTGATCAGGTGGTCAATCAAATCTACTAGGGAAAGAAACATGCTGGCCACAGTCAGAGAAAATAACTCTGAATCCTTGCTTTCATAGCTACATTATAGATTCAAAGCTTTCAAATTCTACCTATACTTATAACGACTACTTAATATGGTGCATTGTGTTTTCAATTGCCCTACTTCAATATGAGGTTACATCAAAACAATCTTCAACAAGCTATTGTTTAAATGCAAAGGATCATGGTCGTCAGACGGGGTCAAATCAACGCAAACTAACCGAAAATTGTTCTAAATCCCGTATCATTCCACGAAGACAAGTAGAATAGCCAGCAAACGCTCAGAATATTTTTAGTACATATTAACACATATTATATCTGAAAACCATTTTAGATTAAAACTGTGTCCCTAGGAGCACCTTTTGTTGAATTTTCTATTGGATTTGGCGATTCTATCCCCACATAAACAAGCAGTGACGTCATAGTGAATTAGGTCAATTCTTTTATGAAATTATCGCGAAATGATAGCTCTTTGTTCGCCGATAAACAACTGAAACTAGGACCGCCTGATCAACTACAACAATCCTTTGTGCGTATTTCTCAAAATCACTTGGATATATACATGTACTGTAAGCCTTACAATTTTAATTTGCTTTAATCATTAAAATAATATTTGAATTTACCGGTAACAAAATCAAAAAAATAAATGTTAAAAATATCCATAATAAATTGTCATGTAATAAAGTTACCGTAAGCTTCTATCTGTAAATGCTCTCTTCTTTTCTCACTTTCATTAAGTAACCTGTAAAAAATATAAATTTATCAAAAAAACTGTTCTACACCTCACGTTCTGATTGGTTGGGAGTGCGTGCTTTATGAGACCACATAGCACATGCACCCACTTTCGGTTTCGTCGTTCATGTAATTAGTATTTCATTAAAGAAATAAGAACCTTGCTTGCTCTGCTATGTGGAATAATGAAGCACTTGGGGATTGGCAGAACACTCGAGGAGTGTTGCCAACACCCGCGTGCTTTATAACTGCATATAGCATGTACACATGTTTTCTATTTCTTTAATATTCAATGGCAGAAATTTGATCTGCATACACCATAATCATCATCAAAATTATTGGACATAAAGTAGATCTGTTTTTTTTCTACTTAATCTTGTTATCATTATAGTTGTCCCTCATCCATTATTTTTATCACAACCATATCACTTCCATTACTATTGGAACCATCATCATTTATTATTACCAGCATCATCAACCGCCATCATCATCTCAATTATCTGTCATTATCATCATGATTATCAGGATTATCATCACCATCACCACCACTATAGATTGTCATCATCAACACCATCATTATGGTCATCTTTTATGATCATCTTCATGCCCTTCATTATCATCACCATCCTTATCACAAACATCATTATCATCATCATCATAAGCATCATCATCATCGTCATCATCATTGCCACCATCACCAACATCATCAATGTCATCATTTCCATGTCCACCATCACACTTCAAAATACATTGTATTAACTTTAATTCAATCTATCAGTAGCCTTTAAGTTTTAAGTCTACGATGGAGAGATAAATCTGATCAGATTTTTTAAAATCTATAACAATCACCACCATTATAATCATTAACACCAGACCAATCTTTAATATTATCAATTGATTATCATCACCAAGTGCAACCACCATCACCATCTATCACCTTCTCCATCATCATCATCATCATCATCATCATCATCATCATCATCATCATCATCATCAACACTCCCAACATTACAGTATAAACATTCTCATCCTCATACAGTATTTATTTATCAGCTCTTACTTTTGTATTTCTCCTGCCTTTTTGGGGTCACTTTTTTCCTAAAAGGGTAAGAAAATTATATTATTATAATCTGGCACAAATTATGTTTTGTCATGAAGTGTGATCATCTGGGTGAGTGCAATCTTGAGAAAGACTGTTGTAGGTGGTGACTGATGTTTAGACAACCTGAAGTTATCTCCAGAGTCCAGTGAGAAAACAAGAGAAATTAAAAACAAGAGAAATAATAACATTAGGCACTATGGAAAAACATTAAAAGAAATATAATATAGCCTCATTCCCAGGCTACTATTTTTGCTGTTCGGCATGACATCATGAAAATGCCTCTCAGACTTGTTCTCTGGATTCCAAATTACATGTAAATCGAGCAGTCTATGATCAATACAGTACATATTAAATAAGTTTTTTACTTACAAATAATTTCTGTAGTCTTTCAAGAGTTTCTCGTAACTTTTTTTTCTTGTCTTTTAAAGCTTTATCATTAGGCAGAGGCTCCACTCCAGCATCTAACTCTGTAAAATAATAATAACGGGGTTCTTATATAGCGCATTTCACATTGTTTCAATGCGCTTTATATTCATGAGCATTGGAGGACTTTTACGGGCTGCATATTAAGGTGCTATTAGCAGCCATGCAGCTTACAATCGTGAGTGACTTGTTAGTGTACATTAGTGTTATGCCTCCAGACAGGAATAGGCTGTCGAACCGGAAGATAATCCCCTTCTCTAAAACAAATAATTCAACAAGTTCTTTTATGTCCTCCATTTACTGTAGGTAAATAGTGTGCAAAATGGTTTAGGGATCTTGTTAGGAGTCAGGATGTCAGGATGTTAGGATGGCTTAGTGATAAAACGCTCGCCTCTCACCTCTTTTCTTTCCACTTACTTGGACTATATAAGGACTAACATCCTATTACTAATGTCCGACTAATGTCAGATTCAATTTATCCACAAGTTTCTACTGTTTTATTCAGAAACACCAACGTAGTCCACGCTAGTACTCTACTAGTTATCACCTCTCACCTCTGAGGTCTGGGTCTGAATCCCAGTTGCCCCAAGTGAGCTGAGTTGGTTGGTTCTCAATGGAATTTATGGCATTTCTTTTGTATTTCCATGTTAGTCTCACATTCAAGACGATTTTAAGAAGGGTGAAATCATGTTTGCTTTCGCAGAAAATTTTCATCTATGATTTAGCTTACCGACTGTCTCTATTTTTTCAATTTCATCTAGAATCCTCTTGGGATCTTTCGTCTTCAGTACTGCTTCTCTGACCATCTTTCTCTGCTTCTTGTTCTATTAGATATAAGGCAGCTTTGTTTTAGAGCAGTTTTCGTATGGGTGGCAAATGATACATGTATATATATTTATATACTTATATATTTATCTATATTTACAACCACCACACCATGTAGGGGGCTCTTTTGTGAGGTGCCCTCCACACACACTACCACTACATTCTATATTTACAACATACACCACTCAACTCACATGTTGATTTTTATGGAGGGAGGAAGCCAGAGTACCTAAAGAAAACCCTCGTGGCAAAGGAGAGAACAACACATCAAACAAACTCAACCCACATAAATGATCTAGTAAGAGCCGTGGCTCAAACCTGGACCACAGCGGTGAGAGGTGAGCAGTAAACCATGATGCCACCCAAGCCATCCATTTGATGTACTGTACATCAAACTCCTAGCCATACTCATAGCAAGCTTTACAGTAATTTTAACTGCAGTACCTAAACAAATTTATCCATTGCAAAGGCTGAGCAGTACTATATGTTTCTGACTCCTTCATGCATTTAATAAAACATGACATTTTGGCTATAATTGATCAAACATCCTGTTTTATCAAATGCGTCTGGAAACCCCTACTTTTGATATCATGTGAAAACGTGAAAGCCTCAAAGATGCCCTATCCTTTGTGGATTGTAAAAACAACAAACTTTAAACCAAAGAGTATTATTCACGAGAACAAAGAGCTATCAACAAACCTTTTTTAATTCTCTTTTCCTTGCTTCTTTTCCTGTGAGACAGAAAATAAGACAACTATGAAAMACCACAGGTATCCCAACCATAGRAACRATTAAGAACATCAAAAACTAACAAMTTAACAAATAATGAAAACGATGCGTTAATCATCTAAAAAGAAATAAAGTCTAGGGCTATTTTAAGAAGGAATTTAATAAAAAAGAGCTCCTGGGAACGTCAGTCACCATGGACAATCGCTCACATGTGAGAAGATGGCTGTCACCTACTGTAAAAAGCATGGATTTTAAGAGTATTTTATAACTTACTTGCTTGATCTGTAGGATTCATAAACTTCCCATTTTTAGTAGTACTGGTGGAGCGTCGCCCCATGCTTGAAACAGCGATTTTTGTCTCGCTYTTAAGCGAGAAAAACTAAAAATTCAAGAGCCTTTTCAAAACATAAGTTAGAACAAGATGGCGACGCTGTGCTTCCGAGTTACTTCCGAGTTTTGCCCGAACCTTTTCGACTTTTCCTTAGTGGCCGAGTGGCCGAGCCGTGGCCGAACCTGATATATTGATTTGATAATCTAATCGAGCAAATGAACAAGAGATTTGTAGATAAATTCGAACTTTATTATAAAACGAGAGAAATCCTAAAACAGCATTTTAGATATTTTTGAAATTTTTTAAAAGGTTGTTCTTAAATTCGGGTTGAATTCGTTAAATCAGAAGTCGGAAATTCACGAGCCAATTTTTGAAGTGCGTTCCGATATACGTACGTCGACTCTTCAATATTTGTTTAATACCCTTGAAAGCCCTCAATTTAAACGGTATCAAAGGGGTTTAATTCCGATATAGAGGATGATCAACCATGGCAGAGACTTCTGTTGACACCGGAAGCCGTTCTACAGGAATCGATTTATGGACTTCAAGGCCGTCAATCCAACATGGTGGAGTGGATTTGAAGTCAGTCATCAAGGCTGGCTATTTATGTGGACTATCTTCGTCTAAGTCAAAGTATTATGTCCTTACGAAGAGCTCTTTGGATAGCTATAAGAATAGACACTGTGTGAGTATTTGGCATTATAAGAGGGGAGGGGAGGGGGGGTGAAGTAAGTTAGTAAATTTTGTATATTTGGTATAATTTTTCAATAGTCCCACATTTGAAATACTTTAAGAAAGTTATGAAGCCCCCTCTGACCGTAGGTAAACTAATAATAATAAATATTAATCTTTTTATTTATATGATGGACTTTGGGGGGCTAGTGGGGCTGTGCATCCTCCATACGCACTCCTTACTTTGTCATTCACATAATATCATATGACCTGTACAGCCCTGCTCGTGCTCTAAAAACATTTGGACAAAGTCACATTATGGGGCTGGATGGGTTGGCCAGCGTGAGTGGGCTGGAAACAGTCTGGCCCTCCTCGGTTTATTTATCAATTTTAGCAGGATTACTTAGCCTTTTTTTACAACAGAAATTGGGTCATATTAAAATGTTTTTTGACTGTGCTAGGTTGGTTTGTGCTCTATCAGTATGGTATGACCTCAAGCCAAATATTTTCCTGTCCGGCCCTCCCACTTAGTTAATAAGACTTACCTATTACATAATACACAACTGGAATCTAAATAATTTTTTTTTATGGAGGGAGGAAAACCAGAGAACCCAGAGAAAAAAAACCCTTGTGGCAAGGGAGAGAACAACAAATCAAACAAACTCAATTCACGTACTAGCATGGATGAAACTCACGACGTTGGCCCCAATGCCACAAGTCTTGCATTTGTGAGAGAATGGTTGACACTTTCGCAGCATAGATCACCCATTTTCTCAATAATGATTCCAGCAGTAATTTGGGTCTTCTTGAGAAAGGCTTAAAAAATAAAAAATAAATAAACAATAGTCAAAATTGATATCTGATTATTTTATTATTTTTTTTCAGGATAAGCTCAAAGGTAGTGTACCTTTGGTTGCTATGGAAACCATTGAAATATGTGTGCATAGCAACAGATCCTTGCAAATCACTGGTCCATATGAGCATCCTATAATACTACAAGCCTTGTCTAGAGACGAAGCCCAGGAATGGAAAAGAGCTATTGAAGAGGGTAAGTGTGATACTCTGAGATATATTTTCAGATCAAGAGCTTGTGGCCGGCCAGCCGCCATTACTAGGATAATCCATTTACCATGCTGGGTGACTGTATGCAGGCATATTCCCACATCGGGAGCCCATTACTAGGAGCATCTATCTCCCATACTGGGTGTGTGAACCAACATAATCCCAGATCAGGAGCCCATATTTATTAGAAGCATCCATCTCCCATAATAGTCTGTGAGCCAGCATATTCCCAGATCAGGAGCCCATTACTAGGAGAATTCAGGCATCTCCCATACTGGGTCTGTGAGCAGCGAATTCCCAGATCAGGAGCCCATCACTAGTAACATCCATGTCCCATACTGGGTGTGTGAGCCAACATATTCCCAGATCAGGAGCCCATCACTAGTAACATCCATGTCCCATACTGGGTNCACTAGTAACATCCATGTCCCATACTGGGTGTGTGAGCCAACATATTCCCAGATCAGGAGCCCATCACTAGTAACATCCATGTCCCATACTGGGTCTGTGAACCAGCATATTCCCAGATCAGGAGCCCAATACTAGGAGCATCCATCTCCCAAGCTGGGTCTGTGCACATCCTGGAGACTCCTTTCAAAGTGGTTAATTAGATTTGATGGCTAGATTAAAATGTATAGTTGCGTTTTTAGGTATTTGTCACTGGAGACTTGACTCAGAACAAGACTGCAGCAACCCAAAGATTCAAAGCCGTGAAATGAAAACTCCAAATAAAGCTCTAACAGATATGGAATCCAAGCTAGTAAGTACATAGTTGCAGTAATGAAAAATATAAATTTAAAATCTGGCACAAAAGAGAATTTCAAATTAGTTTTTGGCTAAATCTGAACCAGCTTTTTCAAACTATGCAATGATTAAGGATTAAAAATTATGAGGACCGTAGTGGTGGGAGATAACAACCCAGCATCCCCCATGTACTTTAAGTGACCTCGGGCGCTCAAAGCTTGAACGCTTCCATTTTTTTAAAGGTTATTACTGCATTAACTTTCTACATTTTCAAACCCTGTAAAATGAAGTTTTGAGTTAAAATATCCTGAGTGATCAAAACGAATCATATTTCTAATCAATTGGCTCAAGGGATTCCCAAAAAAAAATACAAAAAAACAAAAAACTCGAAATATTCACCGTTTGAGTGTTTTCACTGTTCGAGTATCCTCGCTGTAAATAATAAAATTTATTTCCTTTATTTTAACTATTGATTTTTTTCTATGTTCACAGATGATGTACCCATCATTAAAAAGGGCTTTCGATCAGTCACCCACTTCTGATCTGGTTTTTTTCTCGGGTAAGTTAAAATAATTCAATATATTTTAGGGAAACACGTGTTGTATGCGCTGCTAATGCGCCGCCTCTTTTTGATTCTAAAGGCAAGGACAGACGGTGCAACATTGCACGCAACATTTCACGTAACATTGCACGTAACAAATTTGAATTGGGGTGACACACGTTGCAAGAGCATCATGCCACATCGCTTGCTTAGAAATTTGCTCAGGGAACGTAATAAACTCAGTTGGTTGCTCCGAAGAATATTTTTTATTAACCAATGTATATTCTATTTTTTCCCAGCTGCAAGCGAGGTTCACCATGAATTTGCCATGATAAAATATGCGAGGGCAGGAAAAGCCATCCCTCACGAGAAACTGGTGAAATTGGACAATGATAACTTGGTAAGGCAAACAAATAACATGAAGAAATAGAAAATGTGCGCGCGTGCTGTGTGCAGTTACAATTCACGCGGGGGTTGGCAGAACACGAGAGAAGTGTTAGGAGAGGCACGACGCGTAGCGGAATGCTTCTCGACACTTCTCGAGTGTTCTGCCAATCCCCAAGTGCTTCATAACTTCACACAGCACAGCAAGCAAGTTTTATTTCTTTTATAAGATACAAATTACGATAACCGTTATTTTAACTAGGATTGACGCAGCTGAAAGTGTGCGCACATGCTGTGTGCTCTCATAAAGCACGCGCTCCCAACCAATCAGAACGCGAGGTTTATAACAGTTATTTTATAATAACGCATAAAGTGCACCTTAGGGAGAGGGGGGTTGTGGGTAAAACTATGGGTTGGGGGAGGGGCAATATTTTGTTACCCATGTCGAGTAGTCGTAAGGCTAATTGTTCGACCAATAAGCCGGCCAAAATAAACATTCTACCATCGAACAACATCGACCGACGTGACCGACCAATATTTGAACCATTGTTGGATATGGATAGACCATCCAACCAACTATACAGAACCGCCGGTTTGATCGGCCGATCGAACAACCGACCAACGTGATCGTCCAACACACGGGCCATTATAGATGGGATTGACCATTTAAACAATTAACCGACCATTCGATCGGTCAACCTACCGACCAACCACCAAACAACTGACCGACTTGACCGACCATCACACGAACCATTGTACATTGGATGGACCGTTCAACCAAGTGACCAACCGTTTTATAGGCCGATCTACCGACCTATCATCGAACAAGCGACCGACGTGACCGACCAACACACGAGCCATTGTAGATGAGATGGACCATTCAACCAAGTGACCAACCGTTATATCGGCCGACCTACCGACCTATCATCAAACAAGCAACCGGGTGACTGACCAACAAACTTTAGCTATTCAGCCAACTAACCAACTATTTGACCGACTGACCGATCAACTAATCAACCGACCGATTGATCAAATAGCAATCACATCTAGTTACGCAACCGACCGGCCAAAAGACTGAACAGAAATTCAAAATATTTTTGAAGTCAGTCGTTATTAGTCGTTCAATAATTCAAGTCGATTTTCAATTAATAGACCTCTCAAACTTGGGCGTAATGTTTCCCCATGTCAGACCAATTGCCATTCTCACATAAGGTTCATCATAAGATTCTTTGTTTGAGTTGTATCCATATTCATGTGTCCTCTCATGTGCGACCGTTAAACAAAGTAATGATGCTTTAGGGAATGACATGTGGTCTTAAATGGGATAGGATTACGCCCAAGTCAAAAAAGTGTATTACAAAAAAAAAAAAAAAAATTATTACATATTTGTCAATTCTAAAAAAAATAATATATATATTTTTCCTTTTTTTCGAATGAAGCATATTATGTGGAAGAAAAGATCGAAGCACAGTTTCTCATTCCGCAACACTTGTGAGTACCAAGCGTATCATGTCTGCTAACTTGTAGGACTATAGCTTGGAAATTTATAAAATCCTGAAAAAATCCTGGGCTGATCTAAG